GTATCGAGCCACTTGACATTTCTGCCAGAACAACGACCGCAAGCGTCGTTCTCTAAGGTCGTCAGCTCCCACCGTGCATTGCTACCATCCGGTTATATACCCTTGGCGCGTTCACCGTCCGCCTTGTGGAGCCTACGAGAACCCGACGTGCGCCTTTCCGTCCCAGGAATAAGAAATAAATAGTCCTTTCTGCCTTGGCCTTAAAGCAAGCGACTCTGGACTGTTTACACACTTTCTACGCTGACAGAATCCACGTATACACGGATGGATCTACCACTAAGACTAGCTCCACGGGCGCCACTTGTCACGTGAGCCTATCGACTGCTTCGGAAATTGTTAGCCCTGCCAGGTGCATTCGATTATATCAAGCAACAACCGGCTAATCGATGGGCAGTATTCTGTGGCTCCAAGGCGGCTCTACAGTGTTTCATCGGCACTTCGTTGCGGGTCCTACGAACAACTGGTATGGGAGATCAGAGAAATGCTGCACTATGCGACCGAACAAGGACACAACGCTGTGTTCCAGTGGATACCAAGTCATTGCGGTATCTACCGCAATGACCTCGCCAATGAAGCAGCCAGAAATGCACATGTACAAGCAAACCCTGTGTCCGTATATCTTTATCTAGGATTGACTCGGCCAGATACCCTAAGTAAGCTGGCGCAGGACATGATACTCCAGAAGTGGCAGTCATCACAGTTCGCACATCATCGACTATACTCTCTTGATCCATCTCTACGACTGCGGCTACCCTCTGGTCTTTCTAGTGGGAAAGCACTGTGTGCCGTCTGCGTCTGGGCGTCGCCTTCACCAATGCCTACTCATTTAAGATAGGGATGGCCGACAGCGAGGAGTGCAACGACTGTGCCGTCGAGGAGGCTATTGAACACATCTTATGTTACTGCCTGGAATACACAAACGATAGGCTTCACCTGCGCAGTGTTTTAAATCAACTGGACAGAATGTGATTTCACTGTCGAGAAAGTATTGGGACCATGGCACGGCCCATCCAATTTCCGAAAGGCAACGAAATCACTGTTGCATTTTCTCAAAGACACCGGCCTGTTTAATCGTGTGTGATGGTGGACACTTTCACGCGTCGGCCCAGCCAGTGACCTTTTCTCTCCTCCTCTATAACTTTCCTTCCCCCTCTCCTCTTCCCCAGTGCAGGGTAGCCATTAGGGATCAGCCCTGGTTAACCTCCCTGCCTTTCTCCTTGTGTTCTCTCTCTCTTCAATCGAATTTAATCACAGAGAAATTTAATTGCAGGGGAACTACAGGGAACTCTCAAGAGTCCCCCACCAGATGCGTGTTCTACGGGAGCATATAAATATTGGAAGCACCAAAAATATGTTTTTCTCGTGGTACAAAGCCCGAATATTTCTAACGGAAGGGGATTAAGTTTACCAAACGACGTAAAAAGTAGAATACATGCCGTTGCATATTTGTATTTCGTTGGGATATATGCGGTGACACAACTCGTTTGTTTGCCCAAATCATGACACCCGTACGCAATTCCAACGTTTGTTAAACCCAGAAAATCACCCTCCGGCTCCAGTATCACAGCAGACTTGCAGTTTTTATTCAGCTTGGATGAAACGAACGTGATCGTAGAATGTGCGAACATCTAAAAAATGTATCGTCCAAAATTCGCACTGAAAGCCCAACACCATGAAATCTCATTTTCAGTGTGATTTTACCAAAGCCGCCACCACGGTGTTACTACTACTGATGTTGCATGCCACAAAAATTTAGAGTACTGAATCTGGATGCAAATGAAGGTTTCGATGGCAAGTGCTGCATACCTGTGGTACATTTTTACTGCAGGGTAATTGAATGAGTACTCTCCATCTAATGGTAAAGGGAAAAGATTTTTGCTCTTCCACATGCACACACATGTTGTAGTGAAGCCTTGAAACTGTAATGGGTCACCCCCTTCAGCACCTTCTAAAAGGTTGTTCTCTTCGGCTCCTTTCTTACAGAAACGCCACTCAAACTGACAGCCCGTGCTCTGCCTTTACTGTCGCCGCCATTAGAAATTTTAGCCGAGTCAGATGAACGCCTTCAGAATATATATTGAAAAAGTATTCACCGGACTTCGTTTTCCTTATCTGTAAATAACTATCATCTGTCTTTGTCGTCTGCACCATCTTGCTACTCTTCAAATAAAGCGTCGGCTGAACTGAGCTATTTCAAGCATATAGTGGAGGTGTTTCCCGGTCTCTTCAACCTCTCTTCACCTAAAGATATCTCCTGGAACTCCGTTCGGAACGCCACTGATGCCAGTAGAGTTAGCAAGCTGAAGAGACAGCGCCAGCTTATATATATATATATATATTCAGCCTGACTACGTCCACTGCAGGACACAGGCCTCTTCTGTGTTCCGCCTGTCAACTCAGTCCTGGGCTTGCTGCTGCCAATTTATCCCCGCAAACTTCTTAATCTCATCTGCCCACCTAACCTTCTGTCGGCCCCTAACCCGCTTGCCTCCTCTAGGAATCCAGTTAGTTACCCTTAATGATTAGCGGTCATTCCGTTTACGTGCTACATGCCCGGTCCATGTCCATTTCCTCTTCTTGATTTCAACTATGATATACTTAGACCCAGTTTGTTCCGTAATCCACTCTGCTCTTTTCTTGTCTCTTGAGGTTACACCTACCATTTTCATTTCCATTACTTGCTGCGTCGTCCTCAATTTAAGCTGAACTCTCTTTGTAAGTCTTCAGGTTTCTGCTCCGTAGCTAAGTACCGGCAAGATGCAGCTGTTATATACCTTCGTCGTGATGGATAGTGGCAATCTACCTGTCATAATTTGAGAGTGCTTGCCGCATGTGCTCCACCCCATTCTTATTCTTCTAGTTACTTCAATCTCGTGCTTCGGCTCTGCGGTTATTACCAGCCCTAAGTAGACATAGTCTTTTACAACTTGAAGTGCACTATTACCTATCTCGAAGCGCTGCTCTTTTCTGAGGTTGTTGTACATTACTTTCGTTTTCTGCAGATTAATTTTAAGACACAACTTTCTGCTCTCCTTGTCTAACTGCGTAATCATGAGTTGCAATTCGTCCCCTGAGTTACTCAGCAATGCAATGTCATCGGCGAAGCGCAGGTTACTAAGGTCCTCTTCATTAACTCTTACCCCAAACTGTTCCCATTCTAGGCGTCTGAAAACCTCCTGTAAGCACGCGGTAAATAGCATTGCGTAGATTGTGTCTCCCTGCCTTACACGCTTCTTGATTGGTATTCTGTTGCTTTCTTTATGAAGCACTATGGTAGCAGTTGATCCCCTGTAGATTTCTTCCAGGATGTTTATATATACTTCATCGACGCCATGATTCCGCAGTGTCTGCATGACGGCTGATATTTCTACTGAATCAAACGCCTTCTCGTAATCTATGAAGGCTATATATAGTGGTTGGTTATATTCTGAGCATTTCTCTATTACTTGATTGATAGTATGAATGTGGTCGATTGTTGAGTAGCCTGTTCGAAATCCTGCTTGTTCCTTTGGTTGATTGAATTCTAATGTTTTCTTTACTCTGTTAGCAATTACATTTGTAAATAGCTTGTATACTACAGAGAGCAAGCTAATCGGCCTGTAATTCTTCAAGTCCTTGTCATCTCCTTTCTTATGTATTAAGATGATGTTAGCGTTCTTCCAAGACTCTGGTACTCTTCCCGTCAGGAGACACCTCGTAAACAGGGTGGCTAGTTTTTCTAACACAATCTGTCCTCCATCTTTCAGCAGATCTGGTGTTACCCAATTCTCACCAGGAGCTTTGCCTCTTTGCATGCCCTCCAAGGATTTTCTGACTTCTTGTATGATTACTGGTGGGGTGTCATCTGGGTTACTGCTAGTTCTTCTGCTAAGTTGTGATTGTGCTGGCTACTGTACAGATCTCTGTAAAACTCCTCTGCTAATTTTACTATGCTATCCATATTGGTACTTACTTTTCCGTCCTTGTCCCTTAGTGCACACATCTGGTTTTTGCCTATCCTAAGTTTTCTCTTCACTGCTTTCACGCTTCCTCTGTTCTTCAGAGCATGTTTATTTATATATATTATTCATATATATTATATATATATTATATTATATATATTATATATATATTATATTATATATATTATATATATATTTATATATAGGGCTATGAGATGTATCACGTTGGCTCTGATAGTGTACAAAAAAGCGTAACTCACACAACGAAGGTTCGTCCGGCCTTCGTCGGGCAATTCCCAGACGAAGGCCGGTCCCACGGCCGCAACGTCGGACTAAACTGTGCTTAAACATTCGTTGTGTGAATTACGCTTCTTTCAATATATATATATATATATATATATATATATATATATATATATATATATATATATATATATATATATATATATATATGAGCTCTAACAGACAATAATGCCAAGGAAAGTATAGGGGAAGGTATTGGACCGAATTGTATTGTAAATGTGAAGAAATAAAAGTCCGTTAGTTATTAACGATGGTATCGTACTGGCACCCTTGGTGCCATAAGTTTGAGTACGAGGGACTATTGGTCAGCTTGTAATAAGTTCACGTGCTACGTGACGCCATACAGGCTCATAAAGATTGTGTCACACTCGCCGGCATGGCTACTGATGGCGTTGACTGACACTCCCGCGTTTCAATTCACATATATACCCAATAAAGTGTCTGGGAGGGTAGCCGCCGTGGTAGCTCAGTGGTAGAGCATCGAGAGCGTTATTCGACAGCCACAGGTTCGGTTCCTGCCCATGGCAAATTATCTTTTCGCCCACTTTTCTTTCTTCACCTTTACATTACAATTAGGTCTAATATCTTCTTCTATACTTTCCGTGGCATTATTGTCTGTTAGATCCCATTAACATTCTGTAAAAACACGAAAAAACGAGCCCTTATGTATACACTTCTTTCCCATATATATATATATGGTTCTCTATTTTGTTGTACGTTTTGTAATGATCAAAGGAAGTCACACAATACAGAATCTTGAATTTTTTGAGAAATCATAACCGTTTATTGCCCGGTCCCACAGGCTGGCTCAATATATACAGTAATGCTCACCAACAATGGAGTCAATAATAATAATAATAATAATAATATTAATTAATACGTTTGCATCCTATAAATTCTTTGGCTCTAACAGCTCATAAATAACATGGTGTAAAAAAAAAAAAGACTGGTGAACGGAAACAGAAAGCTGATGCAAAGGTTACCACCATTTCACCATGTTCTGCATTTGTCCATCGTCAACCCTTAATAGTTGAAATGTTTTGTCCCGTGTCCTTGCTGGCATTTCTGGTCAGTCTCCACTTTGTATCTTCTGCCGTAGTACCTTCACATAATTCCGTTGCCTTTTTTTGCTCAGCGCAATGTTCTATATACACGTGAGTGAGCAACGACTATGATGCTGCAGGCGATATTCACCAAACACTTTACAGAAGCAGCGCATGCACTACAACGCACACCGGCGCACCACACTTGGGGGAGCTTACCGCTGTCCCTTTTAATTGCGAATGGAGTAAATAAAAAGAAACTTGCACACTAGAAAGCACGCAAGAAGCAAGTACAGGATAGAAAGAAAAGGTAATACAGCAAAACGTCTACACTTGACGACCTATCAGACAGCTTGGGTGCTAGCGTGATGTGACAGTTGCCACAGTGTCAAGATGTCAGGTTAACCAGTGAGGATCAAAGAGGATAATTTCAGAACTTGTTAGGTACGAAATATTGGCTTTTAAGATAAATGGATTGCCTTGAAATCAAAATCATATTAATTTAGCAAACTTAAACTGCAAGCTTCGGCCTCTCAGCTTAGTGAACAAGGTTTCCATGTGGAAGCCAAAACATCTTTTATTATAATTTTGACACACTCTTGGTCAGCGTCAGCATCTTTTTCTTTCTACAAAATCAGTGTAGTTGCCGTAGTGCATAATACTCTGACGACAGGTTACTTCCGCTTGAATAATCCACGTTACTTTGCCACTGTGAGAATGGCATGCACTTGACCCCATCCCATGGTATTGTCTCTTGGGGTTGTTGGAATATACTGACCATCATTACCATCGATCTCAGTCTTATTATCTGGAAAATGAAAGCTTTTTTTTACCTTTAAATTATTCAATCTAGAGCAAACCGATTCCTATTCATGCGTGCGAAACTAACTAGTTTAATCATCCTGATTAGCACGCTGCTAAGGACGATAACAAGTTAATGGTTTGCATTCTGGCAGATGCATGCATACATTAGAATGTAATATTTAGCTGTCATTCAAATGTGTAAGTCAATGCTGCATTGAAGAAATTCAAGGTAAAGGTTCCTATGAAACTTCATTTACTCTTCAGCTAGCTGCGTAATTTGGGGCTTCGACTTAGTGATTGGATTTTTGAAACTTTAGTAAATATGGCTACATTCCATTTCTGATATGTGGCAGCTCTACTTTTGAAAAAGTAGCATGTACGTCAAGGTGAAGCTTCTTTGGTATGACAGTCATTTCTTTTCCTTAACCTCTCCATTTAAGTCATTTTGATAAAGGTTTGATCCAAGATGAATTTCATGCTAGAGGAAGAGTTGCAGTCAACAAGGCTGCAGTCACTTCACGCACCACACCCACACTGTCCGGAGCGGCAGGAACGTCAATGGCAACAATAAATGAGAGAAGACACGGGACCAGCTTCATTTTCTTTCGACACCAGGGGCACAGCCCACATTTAACAAGTCACCAAAACAAGACACAACAAGGCAACACCTGCACGTAACAAAGAGCAGATTCGCAGCTGTGTTGAGCTTAGATGCATGGCTCAGTCAACCAGTCGAATGTTTTACCAGCTAAGCACATCCACACAAACGTGAAAAACTTGAAGTGTGCATGTTGCGAGGGACTGTTTTGCTGCATTAAGTAACAGCTTTGCAAACGTACATCATGCTCTACGTGGTAAATGTTGACGAAAGACTGCTAAGATCTGACCATTTTACAAAAGCCACAGGTGCACGAGAGTGTTGCCAGCAGAATCAGGAGGACAAAGGAAGGTGTGGGACATGGTAACCGCTGGTTGACTCCTGACGGCAGTGTTGTTTTGACTAAGATTGCGAACCACAGTGAAACAGCGCCTCGATCATGCTCTGTCAGGTTTGTTTGGCGTTTCCTGTGTGACAGTTATATACAGTGCTCCTTCCTTGCAAAAGTCAATGCTCTTCAGCGACCAAACACTCAAGGGCCCACGAAATGTGTAGTGTATGCCCCGTAGTACAAATGTCTAGCATGTCTTAAAAAAGTCGTGAAGTGAGCTTACGAGAAAGTATAATCGTGTTTCTCGTCCAGCTTGCGTCAGCTGCCCTTCACGCCGAACTCGTATTATCAACAGCTTAGCTTCTACTACTACTGCAGCTTTTGTGACATCTAGACAACACGGAAGTTGTATTCGCTTCTTGTGCACATTCGAGAAACGAGCACAGAAACGCGTGTGAACTATGGCCAGCCGAGTAGTGTTGAAAATTGGGCAAGTAGCTAACGGTTCATTTTTCAAGGCAAACAGCACGAAAAACGACAACACAGGAGTAGGAAGACACAGTACGAGCGCTGTCCTTTGTTTTGATTTGACCAAAAGCAATTTTAATTACGAGGTAGATGCCAAAACATGACTCACATCAAAGCAGGCAATATTTCGAGGCTAAAGTAGCCATTTTTTCCCTGCAAAGAGCAAGCTATGTTGCTGTGAGCCAATCGAGGTTCCCCACCTCATTTATCAAAGGACAGTAGTTAAAGCGCTCGTCCTGTGTCTTCGTACTTCTCTGCCTTCGTTTTTCGGGCTGTTTACCTTGAAAAATGGCCAGCCTTTATGTGTTCAGTTAAGATCAGCTCAATGAAAGAACATGTGCTCATAAAGAAGTACAAAATGTTGCTTTTCTTGATATCGGTGTCAGTGACAGCTTGGTGAGAGATGGAAATGTCAAGCAGCTGAGCTTGGAAAAGTGATGTAGCCCAACTTCGTTACAGAAGAAAAAGTTAAGGTGGTTAATATTGCCAAAGAGCAGTACAGTATGATGCAGAGAAATCCTTCTAGTAAGTAGAATTACTGCTACAAGGTTTTTGAATGCCCAAAAAGAAAATATCAGGAGGACAAAGAGCTTGGCGATGAAATTTCGAGGTGACATTAGGTCGAACATTAATGCCTGAAATGGCTTGCTATTTCATATACATGTTCTCCTGCAATTCGATCAGTCACATAGTACAGAGTATACTGAACTTCAAATAAAATCAAGTACAGTCATTTTTGTCCTAATGTTGAATGCAAGAAATTAAAACGTCACTAATTCTGAGCATGTAATTATGATCGACTACATGGCTATAATCGGTCCACCGTACTGCCATGGTAAAATACCCATGCATATAATCTCTATGGTCGGTTCAAATGTCCGACATAAGGCAACAAAAAAATGTGGGAAATGTTCACTTCAAAACAATTTACAGGCTTCTGTGCTAAGATAAAAACTTCTTCCCTAAAAGAATGAAAATTTCCTAGGGCACATTTTTTTTTTTCCTTTCTTGCTTCAGTATCATGAAAGACATTCAGTAACTGATCTAATCATGAAGCTCCTGATCTTTTGTTATACCGCAATGGTAAAACGGATTTGACCAAAAACATTTTTAAATGATGAGGAAGATGACAAAACACTACTTTAACATCAAAGCAGGCAACTTTTCGAGGTTAAAGTGGCCATTTTTTTCCTGCAAAGAGCAAGCTATGTTGCAGTGAGCCAATCGAGGCTCTCCACCTTATTTATCATAGGACAGTAGTTAATGCCCGATAACAATTCCTGTTTTTCATAGGCACACGTTCTCTCTACATATGAGGAGAAGCTGAAAGTGCCCCAAGTACTGTCAAAGTGCCATTAGGCTGCTACACAAACATGAAGACTCATAATAGGACTTACAATTGATGGCATGCAATGATCCCGGTCATATTTCTCTGAAAGAAAATCAGAGACGTCTGAGAACAAATTAAAAACTGTGCTCTGCTTTCCACAAAACAATTCTTTCTCGGCAAATCATTCAGCACATCATAATCGCTGACATATGATTGTGGGACAAGTGACACGGCGCCAGTTTCCAGCTATGTGTTTGTTTTGTTTTTTTCATTTGGTAAAGATACTACTAGCCTGTGGCATGGGATGTACATTTGCTTTCTAGTGTCTGGGCTTGAAATTCAAGCACTCTAGCTTGACAGGGAAGCTGCCTGCATGGTATGCCAGTAATCATTCTCACTCAGTGTTAAGCATATAGGTTAATCACATGGTTGTTTCCGGATAATAAACCTCACATATTAATATTATTATTAGCATATAGGTGGCTTGTGCAGAAGCCTGGCAATAAAAGTATGACCTGGTAAGTGTGGGCTCAATGGAAGGTGTATTCTAGGTAATGAGGATGACTGCACAAGTATGACAACAATGTATTCACATATTCACTCGCACATATCAAATAGAACTAGCCAGCTTTGCGTAACACGATGCACACAACATGCACAGTCACTCGCCACTATTCACGGTTGCTGAAAAACCGAAATGACCTGTAACTTGTGCAGAGAAGACGGGCATTGTGAAAATTCTACCTCGAACCATTCAGAGCATGCCAAAAGGAGTAGGATGCATTTAGGAGTGACTTCAGCAGATGAAAATTGAAAAAGAACATAAGAAAAAACACTACTGCAAGTGCTTACACAGACTGGATCAAGCCTGTTGCATCTCACTGGAAAGATGAAAAGTGGGAGAATGTGAGGACTGCCTGTTTGAGCAATGCACGTTCAGTGCATGTCTTGCATCCACCTGCAGTAACTCTGGTCATACTGATAAACAGAGGGCATAAAAAGAAAACAGACAGGAGACCAGTGATGAGCAGTAATCATTTTTAGCTTGGCTCCATAGGAGCTGCTGTCATACAGTGAGAAGGCAAAGCTTATAGTTTGCACTGTCCGCCACTGATCTACAGTTGGGCTTAATTGCACGCTGAGAAACAGTGCATGGAGGGACGTCCAGCCGGAGGCAAGATCAGGCAGCACACCAAAGTGCCTAGCATGAAAATTGACAGAAAGATTTACAGCAAGCCGAATTATAATTTCTTGATACGATAGTGAATGCAAAAGTCATCTCATTTGACAATCGCAGCTTAGGGATTAACATAAATGCTGCCATGATGACGAGTTGGCTTAAAGCAGTTTTTGTAGGAAAGGCTTATTCTAATGAAAAATGTAAATTAAAATATTCGAATGCCTATATTGCAACTTTGATGCACTATATCAAATGACACCCATGTTTTACTGAAGCGCTGCACTAACTTGTATACAAAGGTTCTACAAAACTTTCTAACCTAATTTAATATTTTGACTCTAGCTGGTTATTTTCACAAATTTTTACAAAACTGTCAGATATCTGGGAAGTTGGGTCAGTTGATTATTTTCATATTGATAAGTGATGCTAAAAATGATGATGATAGACAAAGTTAAATCTTCCATCTATTTGAACTCCCCAGTGTTCACAATATTCTTATTAAGAACTATAAATGGCAGCTGTGGATTCTGAATCGTCACGTGCAGTGCCAAAATGAAATGCGTTGTAAACATAAAGATGCCTTTGAAAGCACTCTAAAAGACAGCAAAAGTCCTAAATAAAACTCCCAGTTAGCCAGCATTCTTATATGTGCTAGATTCATTGAGGATTAAGCATATTCATGCGTCTAATATGTTCAGGGTACTGACACTGCTGCCACATTTGCCAAATCATCAAAAAAGGAGGATGTTACAGTAACGCCTCAAATGGGATTCACTGAGGTGCTTCAGTGATTACAGAAAAATTAACAATTTGGACCTAGTGTAGATGTGAGAGTTACTGCAGGAAAGTATGGTAACAGAAAAAGGTGAAGGAAGCTGTGACAAAAGTGATACATGCAAATATGTACTGCACTCAACATAACTCACAGTAGGCAGAATGTGGTCATGGCATTCATCACCTTGTGCTTTGTTCATAATATGGCTAGTGAAAGGCAGGATGAAGCCTGTATTTGCACAAGGTAGTCAAAGTGCTATGCTAGCGACACAGATACTGTTTTCGAACATTGTAATGAGAACAAGAAATTTTTAACCAAGATGCCAACATGAGCTAATTAGGTCAAAATGACAAAGAATGCTCTGCAAAATGTCAATAATGGATTAGTAAACAGGACAAGACATGTCAGCTTCCAGATGACATAAATCGTGGCAGCAGAAGTTCTAGCGAAAAGAAAATATGGCTGATAAGCAGTGCTGTAGTGCATTTTGCAACTATCATGTGCATGGTAAAATCATGAATACATTAAATGAAGCACTCGCAGAACTCTGCAAAAGTATGGACATTTGTTATGTGGCTACATGTGCTTTTGACACTGCACACTTACCAACACTGCCCCAAGATACATTGCAGCAGTCACTCCCATATTCTGCTAAGTGATCTGATGTGAGCACAACAATATTGTTAACTTGAGTGTCCCAGAGAAGAACCATTGAAAGCAATGTAACGGTTGCTAGGATCGGCAGCATATTTCTCAAAGCAGCTGAATTTCTGTTAAGTCACTAAGCAAGTTAGAGTATCATAGCTCCAGTGCACATGAAGAATATTGTGGTAAGCAATTAGAATGCTGCTGATTCTCTTCGATAATTGAAAGTGAAAGCTGAACTGGGAGAATGTCAACGTATGGACTTGACACATAGGAAAGCTTCACGGTACCCAAAGTTGCTCACGTGGTAACATGTGGAAGGAATCAGCACAGCAGATGGTCAGTAGCGGGAGGATTTGTTCGTTTTCAAAGGTACAGTGTCAACTTCACCCGCACTTTGTAAAACACCTCATCTCTTTTAGCATTTGCAACCTATTTTGTTATTGAAGGGCAGCATAGAAAAAGGACAAATATAGCAGCAAGACTGTGTTATCAACTGTGATTCCTAAACTGCTTCGAGCTTTGAACGGTGTCGCAATAACAAGGCTCAAGTCCAATGACAGAGAGTGATGACTGCGATGAAACTGATAAAATGGGCAGAACAGCCGAGTTTGAGAGAGGAATTAGCATCACCACAGGCAGAACACTTACGCACATACATGTACACGCATGCACTATTTGCAGTGTCTCGGTGGCTAAAGTTTTTCTGTGCTGTCCTCGCATGCCTGGGCTTTGGCGCCTGCACCAAAGGGATGTGGCAAACGAAAAGCACTCTCCAGACTGGCATGGCATTTCTTGCTGCAGTGTAAAGCGCCGCATTTTGCCCCATGAGCTGTAACATCTCAGCGGCACAAAGACCAAGACTACAGCATCTCCCTTTATCATGTTCTAATGGTACATCTCTGCAAACGTATAAAACATGCTGTGGCATTCGCATGCTAAGCCTAGTGCACCAAGTATTCATAGATATTCAGGTCAAGCTTTTTTGACTGAGGAGGTCTGCACTACACCGGGCTTAGCACTTAAAATCAGTTTGAATTTAGGCTTTTTGGCTAAAAGCCAGAACAACTCTTACATCAGCTATAATATGGTGCAAGCATTACAACGAAGGCATGCTGAAAAAAGTACAGGTAACAATGAATGAATGAGAAAAGTAGAATAGGGGAATGCCAAGAAAAGGAGGTATTGTCCATTGAGTTCCTCCTACTGTTCTGCACATAATCTGTCTAAATATCAGTCTTCGACTACTAAAGTTTGTGCACTTCTGAATTCAACAAATCACTACTTAAATGGCTTTCATCTATATGGCCATTCATTTATTAAATTTTCATGTTATATATTTAATGCAGCTTTTATGTAACCTAGGCTAGCTATACAAAGACACTGCTGGATCCCATCTGAAACAACAGGTGAAATAATATGCTAGAGCTGTGTACCTAATTGGTCAATCAGTGAATTGTGTTCTGTTTTCACCAAAGCTGTTGAAAGTTAAACCTGTGCAATGTAGCCTCTGTAGTATGTGACACTTGCACATACATAAAAAAACCCAGTTTCAGTTTTTTTTTGCCATTTTTGAAATTTGCGTTTCAAGGGTCCATTTGTGCAGCACTAAAAATTATTCTCATGTCATACAGTTTTCAAGGAACAAGTATTTTTCGAAGCAGATCAGCAGTGGAGTTCAATGTGCATAACATGGGAAAGACAGCGTGAACTCCAGCAATAGTACATGGTAGTGCAAAGAAACTGATTCAGTTGACAGAATGGCAGGCAACACGAGGAAAGAGAACATGGCTGATGTGTACTGTCCCCACAAAAACTGAGTGTGATACTGACATAAGTTGACTGCCGGGAACGATCTGCAGCATGAGCAGGTGTCTCAACCTCCGAAATGGTCTCTGATGTTTGCGTACTAGTTTAGTTACAAAAGCATGACCTCAAATTATAGTGGCTATGTATCTGCTTTGTAGCACATGGATGGTCACATATTATGAAAATTAAATGAAATCAGATACTGTCTTCTGCGACAAGGAATACCGTCGTCTATCCAGTTTGTAAAAAAAAGTGATGTCTTAACTACAATAGCTTAAGCCTAGTCTTTGAAGTTTATTCAATATTTTCAAAATACTTTTTTCGCATTGAGAACCTATTTAAAAGAATTCCTGTGCAAAAACCAGTGTTTCAGCACCAGCATTGCTTCAAGAAAATTTCTTCGTGAATGGACTGAATCGAAATGTGACATTAATAAAAACTTCCTTGGATTTATAAAAAGACGCAGTACAAGTATTCACTACGATATTCTTCTAAAGATTTCTGAAAGTCTTAAATGGTTAAGAAGTGCAACATACACCTTTGAACTTGGAACTAGTGAGTAACAGAACATGCAACCTTATTTATGATTTCCCAAACACAAGAATGGAAGCCTTTCTGTGAAAACTTTTCTGGATTCTGCCACCCACTGCATGACTGATTCTGCCACCCACTGTATGACTGATTAAAAGTGCTAAGTCATGCAGTGCCACATTCGGAAAGCTCCTTCACTGTGAACTAGAAATACCTGTGTGTAGCATCCTCCTTAATAGGCAAAGAAGAGTTGATGTTATGTGTTGGCACTGGCATTGCAGCCGAGTGCACTGCCAAATACAGTCTGCTCCCACCATGTCATTGCTCAAGTGCTCCATCTATCTCAGGTTCAAAGAAGCTGACTTCTTCCTTCAAGCTGCAACATCAATAGGCTAAGGGCAGGCTTCAGGGGTGGGCTGGTGTTAAGCAATCTGCGCTGCTGTGCTGTAGCAAATTAGTGCAGAAAAGAGGGTGTGAACAATGCGACAAAATGTGTCTCCTTTTCTGTGCTGACCTGCAACAACAAATCGGCCAGCTTGACAAAACCAGCCCCCCTTGCCTCAGTTACCACTTCGCTCATGCAATATGGGCTATAATAGTCTTGTCCTTAATCCAAGGATTCTTGTTCACTATGAACTAGCGCTGCGCGTAGACCTCCAACTCCGGTCCTCCGACGACACATAAGGGTGCACGACACGACAGCACACAACCACACCCCGATGTCCCACAGCTCCTCAGGCCTGGTGCCGGCCCCCGCACAGTCCGCAGCCGACGGCCGCCCTGTGGCAAGCCCTGAGGGGCAGGTAACACCACAGGCAGGGAACCAACAGCGAAAGCAGCGCCAGTCCCGCCCAACGGCGGCGGCAGTCCCTCGGAGAGCCAGAGCACGAGCACGGCCGCTGGCTGAAGTCGCCCTCGGCGTCTGCCATGCAGTGGTAGAGCATGCAGTGGGCGCACGAGATGCACGAGGCGGCGTTGATGCACGCGAGCACGTCGTCCGGCGCGTACTCGCACGATCCGCGCACGTTGCTGTCCTCCGAGAACTCCTCGAGGCAGTGCCGACACTGACGGCGCTTCTGGCCCCCGCGCGCCTTGCTGGGAAGCGGCGGCGCGGCGGCCCCCTTCTTGCCAGGGCCGGTTGGCGTCTGGCCAGTGGTGACTGGGGCGCCACCAGAGCCCGGGACCGTCACCCCAGCATCTCGCGCGACGCCGCTTTTGAGCGTCTCGACCAGCGGGTAGGAGTAGTCGTGCTTGGCGAACTGCACGTACGAGTAGGGCTCCGGCGGTTGCTGCTGCACGGGGTTGCCTGCCTCGTCCAGGAGCAGGCCGCCCTTGTGGTGATTGTTGGATGGCGGCGGGCCCCCCGTCGTTGCGGCGCACGTAGTTGATGCGGTGCAGGTGGTGGTTTGCCGAGTACGGCGACAGGCCGCTGCCGGCCGAAGACGAGCCCGACGAAGAGCGCGAGTCGACAGGCAGCTCGAGTGTCATGAACACTTCGTCGTCGCCGATGTCTGAATCCGGAAAAGTGCCGCACAGGTCGCCCACGCCTGCACAAAAAGGGGTGCAAGCACGCGTGTTAGCGAATTGACAGACCATAAGCATGCGCATGGAAACAACTCATCTGTGCAATTAATGCTAATTATGCTGTCTTAATTCTTAAACTTGAGGACACACATTTGCAAACATGATAATTTTACCTATGCAAGATCTTGCAAAGTGACTTTATTACGGGGTGGCGAATGGCGCTATAAGCCTTGTGGTCGGTCCTTTAGATGAGAACTAGTGCCTGAACACTTGCTTATTGACAGTACAAGGCAATGGGGAAAACAAAAGTAGCTTCTGCACATCTACTTTCCCAATAAGAATGACTGCAGTGCAGTTAGGCTACGTCCGGTGAAATAGCGCATATTATCACTGGTTAAAGCACAGAGCTGGACCGGCCGCTTCATTCGTTTTACATTTTAGTGGCGCCAAAATTAGAACACCGCACGAAAAACAGCTCGTCCACTCCTCAACTCTACGGCGCTACTAAAATGTCAAATTAGCGAATACGAATTACCAAACGTTCAGCGTTTCGTCGAGTCGACAAAACATCGCCCCCGACAAATGGACGAAGAGAAAGAACTAAAAGGAATGTCACGTGTGTGTTGAAGCGTTGTCATAAGAAGTTTATTGAAAAAAAAATGAGCCCTAGTCACGTGGGACAAGCGCTACCATTGGTCAGCTCGCTTTTGTTACATCTGCTGCGGGAGCCTAGCCAAGCTGCGCCGCACACTGGGCTTCGGAAAGCATGAAGGGCGGCGTCAGAAGAGGTTGGCACGCCCAGGCTAGCGGAATTGTGTATTTTCCTTTCCTCCATGCCTCGACACAAACGTTGAAAGGCACACAAGAAGACAATTCGATTTCCTAAAACAAGCTCGTGTTGTGCGAGATCACTCGGGAGTGGCTTTAATAGACGAGATATCGGCCAAACAGCGTAACGGACTACAGGGAACATAGGGAGGGAGTGAAATGCGACAGGAAGAAACTGCAGGATGGGAGGGAGCACGGATCGAGAAGCCGCCGCTTCGTAGCGGCACCTCCCCCAACGCTGAGAACTACGAGCGCGCCACCTGCGATCGATGAGAAAGGATTCGGACCGAAGTGCGAGCGCCGCCGCAGCCACTCGGTGGCGCCAGCTTCATGCAGGGATGAGCATATTTAGCCCCACCATGGATGGCGTTATGTAGAAAATCACGTGATCTCGTCTTCCCGACTGGCTCAGTCGCGGCAATGGTCACGTGATGCATGACAATGTCGCCGAACATATTGGTAGCCATTCAGAAAAACTCCAAAGTGATCCATATTCGATGGTTAAATTTCTTCAAATTGTCCATGAAGGGAGAACCTGAGGAAGCCGTGGCAAGGTTGATTTGGCGACGGGAGCGGATGCCGTCTACACGTTGACGCACTCATTCAAGATCGTACTATTCAAGGTTGCGCGCACTCGATAAGATGCTATCGAAATCCAACGGCAATCATTCAACATCATACGCAAGGACCGGTCCACCTCAAGTTCGTGACATAGGCCAGGAATGTCTGGAAGCGCCGACGGCTCTGAGATGATGATCTGCAGGATCGCGTGCGCGGACTAAAAATAGCGAGCGTTGGAGAAGACAGCTGCAACGCTGTACTATACTTTACTGTTCAGTAAGGCTTACGAAGACCAAGACGATCAGCTTTGTGGTCTGCGTAACCCTCATCGTATCGGTGCCCCTCAGCGCTTTTGTATGAGTACACAGAGTATTAACTCAACCATTCCTTCGCTTTCATTCATGGCGAGCTACACTCCCCTCCCCCGGGAAACGAATGGGCTAACTAAATTTACAAAAAGGAAGAAAAGGCGAGCGTGTCAACGTCACTACTCGTACAAACCCAGCCGCGTAAACAACTAGGCATCAGCGCGCTTTCTCCGCTCAAGCGCGACACAAACCACGTGGGCGGTACGCCGAGCCTATGTAAGCCCTCGCGCCACGATCCTCATTCCCAGCCACACCACTCCGCAGCTGAAGCGAGGGCGAAGGGAAACGAAGGCGACAAAAGCGGAATGGACGAAGCTGCTGCCCGTGCACTCGTTATACTATGAACCGTAACGAACGTACTACACGCACGTTCACACGCAGCAGCTCCTTTCCGCGTTCCGTTTCGCGATTTCCAGAACCAGCGTTCAACTCACGCTTTTGTTCGTAATTCTTTCTCACACGTACGCTCTCTCACACAGGACACAAGCGAACAAGCGAGGGACCCCGAAAAGGGAATGCGAGACAAAGGGGAGGCGTTGTTTCGTGTCTATGCCCTGCTCATTTTTGAAACGGACTGTACGCACTTCAAAAATTCTGCAAACTCCAGTTTCCGTGCGATAGTCACCGTGAATATTTACAGACATCATTGTTTCCGCGTTATTTTTAAGGATAATTTCTGCAAGCTTCAGATTCCCTACGAATTTTACGGAAACTTGGTGAACCATCGCGGAATCCCACATAAACTACATGAGACGTTTACGGAAATGAAACAGAACTATTCCAATCGCGCGCAGGATGTTTTTGGGTAATGTATTACCGCACTTACAAGTTTGTTTGTAAACGTTTTCGCACATGCGCAGCCACAGTGAAAGAGTCAGGTGAGAAAGGGGTCTCAATGAAAAAGGCACAGAGAATCGCAGACAAAGACATTACGTGACATGCTCTGGTTCGTTTCCCCTATCTTAAAGGGACACTGAAGACGAACAATGACTTGGTTTATATTGACAAACTGCACTCTCAGGACTCTAATACCACATGTTTCACTACCATACGTTCATTATTAGCGGAGAAAATCGAGGTTCAAGTTTCATTTTCAAATTTCGCGCCAGAAGCTCCGCGCGTGACGTAAGAAATTTCAAAATGTATTTTAGGTAATGTCGTATCGTTGGCTCGATGAAATCATTTTTTAAAGCTTCGTATGCTAAGTTTATGGCACACAGATTACAATTTACTTCGATTTTATCAATTTGAAGCTACATAGGACCCAGCCAGTAGGCAGCTTCGAAATACACACACACACACACACACACACACACACACACACGCGCACGCACGCACGCAGTAGATCGTACCAGCACGCGCGCGCGAACGGTACGCACAGGTTTTTTATCTAAAGCAAGAGTCCCAGGGCCTCCAAAACACACGCCGCGCGCTCGCCATCTCGGAGGCCATAAAAAGTGTCAAAATGCCTCACAGATAGCAGCACACTATCTAGCGTTTGCTGTTTGCGTGATTAACGCCTCTGGAAAGGCATGATATGTTTCCCACTAGATGAACATAGTTGTCCATTTTAAGAGCTGTTTGAAAGTTCCTGTGTGTTTTTAGCGGCGATGGCTGCACTATCCCGGCCTTTTTCGACGTTGTTTGAGGTTTCCCGAATGCGCCCACAAACCACCAAATGGGCTCGTTTTCGCCGTGACACCGGTCGAAGAAAATGCGTTAAAGGGCCCTGAAACACTTTTTCAAGTAACCATAGAATGAATTCACTAGAAGAGCTTATTGCCTCACGAATTCAACGCTGCAAATATTTTAAGAATCCGTCCAGTGCGAGTGGAGTTACAAAGGTTTGTCGCATGCTGCAATTGCACTATCTCTTCTCTCGTCCTGACGAAAGCGATGTAAGCTAATCTGGCAGGGGTGGCAGGGGTAAAGAAACTACCGCGCCTCGTGACCTTGAGCACTTCCTTTTTTTTTTTCGAATGCGTGACTTTTTCAGTGTGATCGCGTGCGCATGCGTGGACAAGTAGCGGCGAACTTTGTAACTTGCTTTTTTCGCTCACAGACGCGCAGACGTTTTTTTGCTCACAACCAACGGGGCCGACAGCGGGATTTCTGCGACACGACGTCTCCAACGCTATCGCGTTAATACGCAAAATCTGGCAGAGGAAGGAGTCAGAAGAGACTCGCAAGCTTCTTCTCTGCAGTTTGGCGCGGCCGTCGGCGTCCTTCGTTGGCCGGCGCTTTCATTCACGAAGCGAGAGAGGCGGCCCAGCCGACTTATTTTTACCCGCGAGCGCCCGGCGGTCGCCTCGCGCGCCCACAACCAGCCACGCAGGCACGTCAAGGAAGAAGCTTGAGAGGGAGGTCCTGTACCCGGCGGCTGGCCGCTGTTCTCTTAGAACTGGGATCTCTTTCCTTTCTTTGTTTCTTTTTTTCCCCCTTCGTGCTGCCCCAGCAAAAACAACGACGAGCGGGGCTCGCGGTAATTGACGGAGCGAGCGCAGCGGAGAACTGGTTGGGCGTGGCGATGAGAGGGGGCTAAAGGTTGACATGAAAGTAAACTGTGGGAAGGGGCTAATGAGACACGGAGCTAGGCGTATTTTCCTATACGGAGCGTTCCGGTACGAATGCGGCAGGCACTGGTAAAATCACCTCTAAAGTAGTCTACAACTAGGCAGTACATAATTCTCATACACGGAGCGGTGGCCTGATCGGATGCCGCTTTACTTCACTTGTTACTTCTGAACGGGCTGTTCCGACAATAACGCGTGTTATGGTACTGTTGCGTCCCGCTGCCAGTGACGTCTTCGAGGCGAGCGCGATGTCGCCGCCACTCAGTTCCGCGAACGCAGCGACTGTTGAGGCTGACCATTGTGTCGCGGGACGGTGCGCTGGCGCCACGGCTGGGCCCTGCGGAATGCGGCGGCGGTTTCGGGGAACGAAAGATTCGTCGCTGCTTCTTGGAGGGATGGGTCCACCCGGAACAACTGAGCATAGAGCTGAGGGGAAGTCGGGTTCCGGGTGGACGATTCACCCCCTTGATCCCCCCCTCTTACTGCGGGCCGCCCCTGCCTTTCGTGAAGTGGACTGATGGACCGAGATAGAGGGAGAGGGGCGGCAACGAGAGGGATAAAAAGGACGGAGGAGACGGCGGGCGCCGAAGGGGGAACAACGATGACCAGTTAACTTTTCTTTGAATGCAAATAAATCCCTTTTTTCAAGTTTCCTAAATGGACGTCCTGCTTTCATGACCTGCCTGATCTTGG